ATTGTTCCTGTGAGATCGTTGCAAGCTGTTGCCATGTAAGCATCTATCCAAATACTTACAATTGTCTCTTGACTGTGTGAAGAAATATTAGATATCTTAAATTATTTTAGGGATATTGCGTCCAATAGAAATAAACTCCAGTTATTGCAGAATGTTGATACTGGTTGATGTATTACAGACCAGAGTGTAGAAATTAATTGTCATCTATCAGCCTAGAGACACACAACCAAGCTATTCAGAGCAAGATTGACAAACGCAAGCATTTTGAATAAAACTGCATTGAACTCACTATATATTATGTTACTTTGAATGTTTGCGCCCCAGTTTCTAGCACTACTTTGCTGCAACATAGTCATACCTGTAATGAACAATTACAGACGGTTTTATGCAAGAAGTATGTGTAAACCAATTTACTGTGATACAAAATGTCAAGAACATATGTTAAAAGATTATTACTGTTTTGAAGTTCAGAGATAGTGAAATCAGGGCCAAATCACTCATTTTGCAAGTTGTGTGTCACGGTGATATCACACTAGGCTGTTGCTAATAACTCCTGATAACTTAGCAGATAGTTAATGGATGGAATAAAGTACAATATTTCATCATTGTCTCAGACGTACTAATTATGATACAATATGGTAGTGATGGATGGGATGTAGCAATTTATCGAGATCTGTTTCAAAGTGGGTTTTGAACACAATGTTGTGGTTTTGTGTGAAATACAATTTAAAATTTTCACATCACTCACAGAAGTCTGGTACAATGGAGTTTTTCAAATCTGTAAGATAAGTAAGTGACATTCAACTGTAAGTAGATAATATGTGAAAGTATATGTACATTTTAAGTTGAGTAAAGTCCATGAAGATATTGTGGAAGACGAAACGGACATTATCAGTTTGGCGGGTCAACACTATTTGCTTTTCATGAAGTAGAAAATTCATGATGTATCAGAGTTTCCACTTCTTGTTTGTAAATGAAATTGGCTGATTTATTGAGTCGTTTGATTGAAAAGTGAACACATTTTGCATTCAAAAATGTGAAATATATTTATTTCAGGTTACCAAGGCTTACCCGTATAATTGTTCATAATAGAATTGAACCGTTCACTTTCCAGTTTCCAAGTTTCTTTAGCAGCTTGAGTGAGTATCAACAGAAAGGTTAAGAGGTTGGATAATTTCTACTGAAAAACCCTCATATGTCAATTTTTACATATTTAAAGAAGAACTACTTTCTGAATTGACAAGCTCTTCATACTGTTTTAGACGACCTCTGTTTGATCTGAAGGCATTGTATTCAGACTGAAGGACGAAATGTCTACATTCTTTGCCAATGATTAACAGCGTGCACACATGAAGCACGAGACTCCATATACATATGTACGTGCAGTTATTTGCTTTTGTGTATCCGGAAACTTGAGAAATGAATGTAGGAGTTGTGTTCTCCGACAGTTCAGATTTCGAAGAATTCGGAAACGAGATTTCAAATAGCCACATGATCAAACACATCGAGTTTGTTCAAAGTTATTTGGAACATCAGTAAATGTGCGGCATTAATGTAGACAGTACGATTTGAAGGACATACTTTATATCGGAAGATGCCCACTAACGATCAGTTGGTAAATTTACAAATGCACATCAAAGATAGATGGATGTGATAACATTTCCAACTTAGTTTAGGGGCCAAGATTAGCAACGGAGTGAAAATTAGTCTAGGCATGTCAATGACAAAGAGTTGCAACATACCGTTGAGATAATTGAGTGCCCATTTCACTTTGTGTTCTTTCTCCGACTCGCGAAGCACTACACAAATATTTGTGAACAGTAAACATAGATGAGACGAGTGATGTGTGACCTTCTATTTCTTTATGAATACACATTTTTCTCAATTTTCACTTAAAACGTACTAACAATCATTTCATCATCTAGCTTCGTTAAATTTGTTGACTATTACCCTCTGGTTATTAGTAGATATGGATTGCTCTATGTGGTAGAAGGCAAGACATGTGCTTCATTCTAATACAAACGCTTACTAGTTTACAATTGCTTGTATTGTAGATTGAACCACTACGAACTCATTTACATACAAGCGTCGTTATCAATCCATTTCACATACTTTCCTCGATGTTCAGTTTGATATTGACTAAATACAGTAAAACTCTCAACAACTTCATATGGAGTTATTGATTACTGTCAATACAGTGGACAAGCAGATAAGATTCTACTTTACATGACACTATTAAAACTGAGTAGTTTGTTCGTCTGATGTCAACGCATAAGAACACATACAAACTTACTGAAATCACATTCTTCCTTTGTGAAATTTACATCCGGTCTCAAGGCAAAAATGAGAAATTTATCTAGACAACCGAAAAGACAATATCCGACATGATGTTCTCATGCACAACTAACAAGTAACAACTATTTTTAAATACATCCACTCAAATGCTAGTTGGAGTAACAATAAGGGTAAATAATATTTGCTTACAACTATTATATATATTTGCTACATAATGTTCCCCATATTCCGATATAGTGGCATTCATGTCACCTAAAATATTATGAAACATTTAGAGCATCAGTGTTGTTCAAATATCCGCTCCAACACCAGTGAGGCAGCCTTAAGATGAAATACAAACACTGAGTGACTTTAGAATTGAGAGAAAACATCACTACATCCATAAAGGATATTTTCTTTCTGTCTGGGTTCTCATCACTAATTGCGATGTATATGTTGGAAAGTAGGCTAACTAACAATTGTAGACAGTTAATGTTCCTGAGATTGTACGTTCCCCTTTCATTCTACACTTCACCATGTTGGACGGTGTTCCTGATCAAACTGAGAAAAACACATTGGAAATAAGCGCGGGTGTGATGGTCCGTGATGAGGAAGCTACATGGATGGAACATTGTGTTAGTTGCAGACTAGGATTTATTTCTTAGTAGACATATTCAAGAAACTGCTGATGCCTTCTGATTTTTATGTGTGACAGTTAACAACTTTAGCATTACAGTATGAACAAGAGACTTACTTTTGATAGGAGACTGAGCTTCGCAGATGAGACCACTTACTAAATCACATAAATGAGTGCATGGAATTAAAAGTTAGTATTTGTATTTACATGGAAAATAATCAAACTTGTTTCACAATGATCTGGTTTGTGAACATGGTACAAAATCATATCGTCAAATTGACATGGTAACCAGGCCAAGAATTTCCTGTTCGACCAGTATATATCTATACCCATGTTCTCTTAAACAAGAAACTAGTATGGAATGTTTCACTGAAATTGTTCTAAATCTGACCTATCAATCTGTGGATTTTCGTCGCTCAACAAGTCAAACAGTTATCCACCGTCCACAACTAAGCTAAACGCAATATCCACTTACAACAAGAAATTGTTCACACAAAGTCTATGTAGTTTTGCTTGTTATGAAAATGACGATGAAGACCATAATGACATGGTACACGGAATATCTGAAACTCTAAGACGTTTTACTAGCTGATATTTGAATAGGTTTTGGAGTATAATCTGGGACAAAATGATACGTTTGTATGGACAAGTTGCCAATCAACATGTAACACTAGTCCAGAATGCCTCGTCAACTACCTCCAACCACCCACCGTCAAATAAATTGGGAAACCAATTCTAGTAAATGAGGAACACATGAAGTAACTCAAACCCGTTACGTGTGAAGTGATTGAAGATTACCCACAAATGTACTCACGTGAAATCAGTAAAGTGATCCCGTTTATTAGAATGTTGTATTCCTGCAACATATTACTTCTAAACTCAATTTTTCTGATGAACATGTTTGTTTGAACGTTTGTCTATATACTGTTTTGGTGTGAAACCAAACACAGTGAACTGAAACATTCTCAAAAACACTTTGAGTTTTGTTGCAAGACTGTGGTTGAGTTCTCATGATATGAAACACTGATGAGAAGTGCACTCATGAAATTGAGGACACTGAATACAGTGCTGATGATAATATTCTTATCACGATGTGATTTTCAATGTGACGCAAGTTTAACTGATTTTTCTCATATCCGTATTAAGTTTGTGGTGAGAGAATTTTGTTCACAACTCCTTCAACTTTCCACTTGATGTAAGTAGATTCTCGTCAATTACAGATTAATGTAAACTGTACTCATAGAACTGAGGACAGTGAACGTGATCGTGCTGTTTGATGAATTTGTAAAATTTTCTCTCAAGAGAATTTCATGTTCAATTGAACATTTTGTTCGCATTGATGGCCAGTTTTTTAAAACTCTCTAAATGTACTATATACAGACTGTTAAAGCACCAAAATGATGAATTTCAATGTATGAGTGATTGGGACTGTTACGGTACGAATGCGAGGTGCTAAATCACAAGTATTTCACAATAATTCGTCAGAACATATATATACACCAACAGAAAATGCCTCAACTGAATAATAAAAAATGCCATAACGTAGTGCACGTGTAAAAAGCAATAGTGTTGGATGTGTCATTTTTATACAATTGGACATCATTTGATGGACCTTGGGTATCTGACTCTACTTAGATTGGTTTGTAGTGACTCACGTTTATCACGAGAACACGACTGGTTTAATAAAAACAATTATTATTACAACCAACTGTACCAGTGTTTGTTTTAATGTGCTTTTGTTTAACTGTGCTAATTATAGCCATTTTGTGCTTCCATTACCTTCCATCATTGTTCCGCGGTTTCTGGTACTATTCGCACGTACTCCTGTCTTCTACTTTCGCTTGTACCTCTTCTTGGCACGATCTCGGTATTCGTTCAATACCACGAGATCGCCAACGAAATAAATCTGGTAACATTCAACTCTCGCCTTCTGATTTATCTGGCACGTGTTTCTTGGTAGCGGTGTTCACATTTAATCTCAACTCGACGCCACGCTACAATTGGTGATCCCAAAGTTTGGAACACGCCGCAACCTCGGGTCAAATCTTCCAAAGAAGTCAATTTGGTGAGTCTATTATTTATCTATCCACGTCTGTCGTATATTTTCATATTAATTTTTAATATATAATATACACGACATGACGGATAGCGAGAAGAATACTATTAATGTTATAGACTCAGACGTACAGGCCATTCATTTTCGACCTGTATCATTTATCCCCCACGACCCTGAGGTCTGGTTTGCTGCACTAGAGTCTCAGTTCGAGACTCGTCGAATCACGAGCCAAAGGCAAAAATACGCCTACGCTCTCGAATCGTTACCCGGGGACCATTTAGTAGCTGTTCGTGAGGTCGTCCTCAATTCTAACGTGCCTAATGTTTATGATCGCCTCAAAGAGGCTATTCTCCGACATTTCCTCCCATCGAGGGAGGAACGATTGAGGACACTGTTAGCACGTCACCCCCTGGGTGATGCTAAACCTAGCCACCACCTCACGTGCCTGCAATCTCTTGCAGGACCAACAGCAAGTGACTCAGAAATAGTTAAGGAATTGTGGCTTGAGTCACTACCAGCGCATATCCAACCCACTGTGACGGCACTGCTCGAGGACTCACCGCTTAATCAGGTAGCCCTCATAGCAGACAAGATTTTGGCGAGGACTAGCAATAGAGACACCTATGTTGTTGCTTCGACGGCACGTCCTAAAGTAGACATGGACGCCGGTCATTCCTCAGCTCATGGTGACAGGGACGGGTGTATTCACACACGTCTTAGTTTTCGAGACCGTTGTAACGGACCCCAACCCTACGTCCCCCGAGCTCGCTCAAGTTCTCGCAAGCCCGTCACCACTCGCCCGAAAAGGGCATCTTCCAGGCCACGCCGAAAGGCGGCTACGGAAGCGAGTGACAGTTGGTGCTGGTTCCACAGGTCCTTCGGGTCTGGCGCCCGCCGTTGTCGAGCACCATGCTCATACAAGGCGGGAAACGCCAGCGCCGGCGAGTAAAAGCGGCCGTACTCGCCGGCCCTTCCCCCCAGGTTGGTCGCCTATTCTATGTGCACGATTATCGCACAAACGCTAGGTTCCTAGTAGACACTGGGGCCCAAGTTTCTGTCGTACCACGAGGTAGCAGCAAGTCACAAGCCACAGTGCTTCGACTACGCGCTGCGAATGGCTCAGTCATTCCTACCTACGGTACACGACAACTCGCGGTCAACCTGGGCAACCGACGACGGTATCTGTGGACGTTCATCATTGCTGATGTTCCCACAGCCATACTAGGTATCGATTTTCTACAGCACTATGAATTGCTTGTCGATTCACGTAGGCTGCAGCTAATCGATACTTCGTCGAACAGCAAATTCATGGGCTGTAAAGCCCACATGAACGCGTACCGAATCCTCGGCACTTTTTACTCGCGTGACGATAAATTCCACGCTTTATTCGAGAAATTCCCCGTACTCACTAAACCACTCGAGGAGCTTCCATCGGTGACCAATCGTGTGGGTCACCACATAGTCACCCGCGGACCGCCAGTCACGGCACGACCTCGCCGACTGGCACCGGACAAATTAGCTTTTGCTAAGCGTGAGTTTGACAATTTACTAGCTACTGGTATTATTCGTCCTTCTCACAGTCCATGGGCCTCTCCTCTACACATGGTGCGCAAAAAAGATGGGGTTAGTTGGAGACCATGCGGCGACTACCGAGCTCTAAACGTAGTTACGCGCTTTGATAGCTACCCCATCCCCCACATACACGACATCACGGCATCGCTCAAGGGCACGACTATCTTTTCTAAAATCGATCTGGTACGAGCATATCATCAGATCCCAGTCGCTCTTGAAGATATCGAAAAGACCGCTATCACGACTCCTTTCGGTTTGTTTGAGTTCCTACGAATGCCATTTGGATTACGGAATGCTGCTCAAACTTTTCAAAGGTTTATCGATAGCATTGTACGAGACCTCGATTTTGTTCACGTCTATATTGATGACCTGCTAATCGCATCATCAAACGTAGATGAACATTATCAACATCTTACGCTATTATTCCAACGCCTTTCGGATAACGGAATAGTAGTTAACCCAGACAAATGCGAGTTAGGTAAACGAGAAATAATATTTCTGGGTCATGTTATCAAGCAAGAGGGTATTTTACCTTGTGAGGACAAAGTGCAAGCAATAAAGGAGTACAACGTGCCGTCCTCACTCAAGGAACTGAAGGCATTTCTCGGTTTGGTTAACTTCTACCGTCGTTTCATCCCACACGCGGCAGAACGGTTACGACCACTAACCGACTTACTACGCGGCAACCCACGCAGATTGGAAATGAACGATTCTGCACGTACTGCATTCACTGAAATCAAAACGGCTGTTGCGCAAGCCACTCTTCTCGCCCATCCCGATCCATCAGCCACGCTTAGTATAGCGGTTGATGCATCCGATGTTGCTATAGGAGCAGTCATGCAACAAAACATCTCCGGTAGTTGGCAACCTCTCGAGTTTTTCTCACGACGCCTCACTACCACGGAGACGAGATATAGCGCTTTTGGTCGCGAGCTGCTAGCAGCCTACTGCGCCATCAAACATTTTCGGCACGCAGTAGAAGGACGTCGATTCATTTTATTCACCGACCATAAGCCCTTAACGTATGCTTTGCATACCAAGTCTGACCGCTACTCACCACGAGAGTGCAGACATTTGGACTATATCTCCCAGTTCACGACAGACCTTCGTCACATCCAAGGCAAGTCGAACTGTGTTGCCGATGCTCTATCACGAATCCAAATGAATGCAGTTACCCTGCCGGTGCTCGATCTTCCTGCTATGGCCGCTGCCCAAGCAAACGATCCCAGCTGTACAGAAGCACCACACTCTACGTCCCTTCAGTATCAGGAAGTACCTCTAGCCACGACTTCTGGCACCATTCTATGTGATACTTCTGCCGGTCTTCCTCGACCCATCGTACCCTCTGCTTATCGCCGTCTCGTATTCGATGCCCTGCATGGATTATCTCACCCAGGTATCGCAGCTACATTACGTCTCATCGCTGCACGATACGTCTGGCCGTCCATGAATAAAGATGTTCGTATGTGGGCTAAGCAATGCTTACAATGTCAACGATCAAAAGTGCACAGGCACGTAGCCACCCCCCTCGGTACATTCGCTACGCCTGATGCTCGCTTCGATCACGTTCACTTAGACATTGTAGGACCACTGCCACCATCGCACGGGTATGATCACATACTCACGTGCATCGACCGCTTCACCAGATGGCCCGAAGCTATACCCATCACGTCTATCACGGCGGAGACAGTTGCTCACCGCTTCGTAGAACGATGGATAGCTCTATATGGTTGTCCCTCGACCGTCACGACTGACCGAGGACAACAATTTGAGTCCGCACTATTCTCCTCACTTACTCGGCTGCTTGGTACGGAACGAATACGCACTACCGCCTACCATCCAGCTTCAAACGGTTTAGTTGAAAGGTTTCACCGGCAACTTAAAAGTGCTCTTCGAGCACACGAAAACGACGACTGGTACGAAACCTTACCGCTCGTTCTTTTAGGTATCAGAACGAGTTTAAAGGCAGATATCCAATGTTCCGCCGCTGAACTTGTTTACGGCACGACATTGCGTCTGCCCGGGGAATTCTTCACACCACGGAGCAGACCTGATTTCGCTAAATCAGACTACGTCCAACGACTGTCTGCATTTATGCGAACGCTGCCTCCGGTGTCAACTCGAATACAACATCGACAGGTCGCTCTCCCTCGAGAGTTATCTACCTGTTCACATGTTTTCATACGAGTAGATTCGGTACGCAAACCTTTGCAACAACCTTACGAAGGCCCTTTTCGCGTGATCGCTCGTCACGAAAAGACCTTCAAGGTTGATCGACACGGCCGCGTCGAGATCGTCAGCATTGATCGTCTCAAACCAGCACACGTCGATGACAGTGCCCTATCTGACAACCTTAGATTCAATGCTAGACCTAGCAAACCTACTAGCGGGATCCTCAAATCATCTACAGGTCCCACGCTAGATACATCTGAGACCTCATTCTCACGTCCTGGTCAACAGCACGCGTCATCTGCACCGTCTACGGACGAGACAACAGTCTCACGTCCAGATCAGCAGACCACGCCGCCTCTGACCTCGGATGAGATTGCAGGCTCACGCGACGCGAACGAGACTGCCGTCTCACGTTCCGGTCGCCGAGTACGGTTACCCGTACGCTTCCTCGACTAGTCGCACAGTCGACAACCGATACGGTGTAGGAATATTCCTATGCTACTTGTATGCTACACTCTTCTTTTTTGATTTTCTTTTTGTTTCCCGAGCCCACGCCTTCGACCATCTCCGTTGGTTCCGTCGACTTCAGTCAACTTTGGCGAAAGCTGGCCTGATCACCCATGCTCTTGTCAACGTACTCAGTCGATATATTGGTTTCGAATGCTTGGCATATGCTTGGTCCCGAACATGGTCGTTATGGTCGCTTCTGGTTCATCGGCTCAACGTGGTTTCGTCCTTCGTCTGCAGCGTTTATGGTCCGGACCCGTACGAACGCCCTCTTCAGATTCTGGATACAAACCACTCTGGTGTAGCATGCCAACTCAAGCAACAAATACAACACATCGCTCCTGGTACCGTTCTCCGATAACGACCTTCGTTGGCAACTCGACGATCAACGATCGCTTTCCTGTTCGCCAATTCTCCCGTCCTACAATCGCTCATCAGCCGATCAGTCCCACGATTCAAACCGCTATTTATCGAAAGTGTAAACCCTTTCTAGCGGGGGGGCTCCTGTAGTGACTCACGTTTATCACGAGAACACGACTGGTTTAATAAAAACAATTATTATTACAACCAACTGTACCAGTGTTTGTTTTAATGTGCTTTTGTTTAACTGTGCTAATTATAGCCATTTTGTGCTTCCATTACCTTCCATCATTGTTCCGCGGTTTCTGGTACTATTCGCACGTACTCCTGTCTTCTACTTTCGCTTGTACCTCTTCTTGGCACGATCTCGGTATTCGTTCAATACCACGAGATCGCCAACGAAATAAATCTGGTAACATTCAACTCTCGCCTTCTGATTTATCTGGCACGTGTTTCTTGGTAGCGGTGTTCACAGTTAATCTCAACTCGACGCCACGCTACAGGTTTATGAAACAATGAATGGTTGTTATTTAGGTATGCATCTCAGCTACGGTCGTGTATTTTTATCGACGTTAATCGTGTTAGCGAATAACGGGATGAGATAAGTAAAAAACGAGAATAAAGTTTGAGTACGTATATTCTGTGTAATCGTTGATTTGAACAGACAATCCGAGAGAGGAAGCGAAGGAAGCAAAAAGGAGAGAGTGAAACGAAGGAGAATGACGTGTAGTGGAGAAAACGAAACAGTAAACTATTTTTAATGAAGCGTGAGTCTATATTTATAGTCAAATTAAAATGAGTTCCAGACACATGATGAATGGGATATATGATTAACACATATTCAACCATATAAAACAGTCAGGGTTAATAAGCCGATGAATGACAAGGCCAGAATTTTGATTGGGAGGAATGGAACGGCCTGTGTGCAGCAGTGTATTTGTGAGCGATAATCAACATGCTATGTTATGTATGTTCATAAACCAGAGCGAAAGGGTAAAGGTCATGCTTTTCAGACGACATTTTTACGGGCAATAATGGTAATTGTACAAATCGTGGGAATCAGTTAAACATGCAAATAGTAACGAAAACTAACTTCATAATAGGTTTTTTTAATTATCCCAACAACCAAACCTACAGGGTGAGTATTTGAAGACTACATTATTCGGTTTTGCAATCTTGTGTCTAAATGTAAAAGCTATTAAGGGTGATGTAATTTCAGCTCATCTACCCCATATTTGTTGGATGAGTCCAACATATTCTGCTCAATAACCTGTTTTTCCAGACTAGCCAGTTTTAGCTTTAGTCTATGAACGAACCAGTCAGATTGCGATGAGAAATTCGTTCTTGCACTATAGCTGATATCAGTTGACGACGAGAAATCTGACAAGTCACATCTGTGTAGACCATCAACGTTGATGACCTATGTTGAGTGATTTGGGGCCTACTCCAGTTGAATGGGAATGGCGTAAACAACAGCTAACGTCGAAATCACATCTCGCGTTTAGCACCTTACGTGGAGTACCCCGTCGTCCTATCAAGTTACCTTAGATGCTTTGAGGACTGTACAACACAACGGACGCATTTACGGAAAAATAATAGTAAGCATGCTAGTGAGACCACTACCGCACGGGCCAGTCCATGGAGTACAATTAATTGGTGCGCGTTGATTGTCTTTGTCTCCAACAGGGATCGATGATCTGCTTGATATTCAGTGACACAAACGCTGGATGATTTGACTTGGGCTCGGCGACAATGCACTGGCCACACAATACTTCCCCACCAGAT